GCGGCGGCAGCCCCCCCCGCCGTAGTCGCGCCCACCTTGCGGCGCCTCCCCTCGGGCTTCCTGCGCCGTGAAAGGCGTACGGCTGAAATTCTGTGGAAAACCTTCCTCAGAAACATCCGGATTTGCCGCTTGGCTGCCTGTCGGTCGGTCCGCCGGGAAGGCAGAGCAGCCGGGAAGGGGTCGGGGCGCCGAGGGGCTGCGGGCCGGCGTTCGGTCACCTGCGGCGGCCTGGGTGAGGAACGGCTGTCGGGGTGAAGGGGGAAGGCCGCCCCGGTTTGGAACGGCGGGCATCCGGCCGCTCGGGCTTCTCCTCCCGACACGGCAGGCTTTGCGCTGTTTCCGCGCGGAAACGCCACCGTTCTGCAAAGCTAGCAGAAATGCGCGGTATCTATCAGCTAGATTTGGCCCTGCGGGCCCTAAAACGAGGGTTATAAATTTGACTTTTTTTTTTTTCCCCTTAGCTGTTTTTATAACAAGCCTCCACACCGCATTGGAAAGTAAACAGCACGACTCTCCTTTATCAGTATCTCCACACAGTCGTGGGGTCCCCTGCATCCCCCAAATAAATTGTGTAAATATTAGCACAAGCCAAACACCAGCAAAATAAGAAATGGCTTAAGCGTACTCCCCCAGGGCAGTAGTAATTTGTTTCAGCTGTGAGACATCTACGGGGCTAGCTTGGAGTACAGCCATGGAATCGAACTTGGCGGGGCTTCAGGGGCACAGGGCAATCCAGGAGGGACCCAACTGTTGCTGAAGCTGGAACCACACCCCAGGTGGTTGCCACAGTGCGTTGGCGTTGTACGTACTTCCCCCATGGCGGGTTAGAGGCCTGCGTTGGAAAAAAAAGGTAAAAACCAGCCAACAAAAGGGTTGGGTAATGATTTAAAAGCTTCCTTATGCTTCTAAGAGGAAAAAAAAGTTAGGTTTTCTCTTGTATACAGATCAGTTTTAGTGTGGCCATAATGCAGTTAGAATGAAAGAATATCTCTTGAGAAAGATAGCTAGGAAAAGAAAAATGAGTAAAAAAGTCACTTCAGTGTTTCACAAGGGATAGTTTCTAAGGCTCACTTATTTCTGTGGTGATACAGATTATCTGTTCTGCCTAGCTGAGGTGCATGGTAGTCTTACTGTTACAAATATTTTGATAAAAGTTAAAATTTCACAAGCTGGGTTTGATTAAAAGGTAAAGATTGTAGAGCATAGGGGTTTGAAGCTTGCAATGTAGTTACAGAAACTCAGGAACATACAAGATGTGTTGTATACAATCATAAGAAAATAAGTATTGTCTAAAATTAGTTAACCATAGAAACTTTGACAGATTTGTTAGTTTATGTAATCTAATACATGATGGCGAAAATTGTACTGCGCAGAATCACATAAGAGAGGCCAACTATCGGACAAAGTGAGGAAGACTATGGAAGACCACCAGAGGGCTTCCGAAGACCACCAGAGACTTCACTGCACCTGCATAAAGGGACATTTACATACACTAATGATTTATCGGAAAGTTGATGATTATGTATGACATTTCCCAGAAATTTAGTGAATATGTATAACAGGTGTGTATTTAATCTGTACAGTTAGACTAGCCAGGTGCACACACTAGGTGGAGTGATCCCCTGTGTGCCCCGCGCTGCAATAAAGGAGTGCCTGCTTCTTAACTTCTCATTGCTGCTAAGGAGTTTATTCCGGATTTCGGCAACATTATTACAAATGCCTAAAAAAAACCTAAGAGGATGTCTGCTTTTCTGTTTTGAAACGCAAATTCTTTTAAATTCCACAGTTGCAGCTACCTCGAGTAGTTCTGCCCTGTAGCCTGGGGAGCTATGCAATAGTGCAATGCAGAAAACAAACATTACCCCAAACTGGGCAAACCCCCTGTAGGACTGGACGAAATAGGTGAGCAAAAGTGCCTCCCCTGCGGAACGTCTCCAAATCCCCTCGCCGGCTGTGTAAAAGACAGCAACGACACAGTCCTGCAGCTGCTGGTCACCATAGGCTTGGAGGCTCTATAGTGCACCTCCGTGCCTTAAGGTATCTTAAAAAGAACCTTTTTTTGCAGTTGTTGAAGATAAGAGGCAGCAGACACAAAAGACAGTTGGTCAGACAGATGGTGGAGGCAGAGAGAAACAGAGATAGAAATGGAGGGTAAACGTTATTCCCAGCCACCTACCTAAGTTCTGTTCAACTCCCCTTAAAACCCTTCTTATACACCTCGCTGTCTCAGGGAAATGGGATGCCTGTGCAGGGCCAGACCTTTATGTCAGCTCTGTATTACAACATTTCAAGTGCATGGAGCAGAGCCCTCCCTGCAGAGCTCCTGCAGTTTGGAAACGTCTGGTGAAATGTGCAATCCAGCAATGTTCAGACATTGAAATAACATGAACAGTAGGGAGGGTCAGTTAGATATAAACTGGATGTAAAGTTTTTTTCTTCCTCATTACTAAAACTTGGATTATTTTCTCACTCATCTCACAGGCTTTGGGTCAGAATCCCCATTTGGCCACGTTTATCGATCAAAATTGTTTTCAGACTAAGCGTACAGCACTCTCCATTCACTGGTGAATTAATAGCAAAAGGTCTTCCACCCCACAAATCTGCGTGCAAGCTTGTTGAAATTAACTGCTGCATTCAGTTATGTAATAGGCAATTTATATAATCAGTTCATTGCATAATTTACATTTTTTAAAGTTGTTGACGGAATTTCAAGGCTAGGATTACTCAAGTGATTTTTTTGTCTTAACAGGTACCTCAAGGACATTGGGTTGTTCTTAGCCATTTCAACACAAGCAATGATGTGTCAATAGCTGAGGGACTACCTTAAATAAAGGGACTACCTAAGCTAACAGCACAAAGACAGAGAGAGAAGTCAACAAACATCAGGTAACTGATGATTTATTACCAGCCTCAGTATAATACACTTTATGATTTATTCCTCTCTACCTTGCAAAGCAGGGGTGGCTCCTGTGAGAAGCTGTTAGAAGTTTCCCCAGCTCCAAGTCAGACCCACCTCTGGCCAAGGCCGTGTCTATCAGTGACGGTGGCAGCGTCTCTGGGGGAACAAATTTAAGAGGGGAAACGTGCAGTGGGGGAGGAGATTGGGATGTGAGAGAAACCCCTCTGCAGACAGCGAGGTCAGTGCGGAAGGAGGGGGAGGAGGAGCAGAGGAGGAGGGGATGCCCCTGCAGCCCGTGGTGAGACGTCAGGCTGTCCCCCCCAGCCCATGGAGGTGAGCGGGGGAGCAGATGCCCACCTGCAGCCTGGGGAGGAGCCCACGACGGAGCAGGGGGATGCCCCCCAAGATGGCCGTGACTCTGTGGGAAAGCCCACACTGGAGCAGTCTGTGCCTGAAAGACTGTAGCCCGTGGGAAGGACTCACACTGGAGAAGTTTGTGGAGAACTGTCTGCCATGGAAGGGCCCCCACGGTGGAGCAGGGGAAGAGTGAGGAGTCCTCCCCCTGAGGAGGAAGGAGCGGCAGAGACAAGGTGTGATGAACTGACAACAACCACCATTCCACATCCCCCTGTGCTGCTGGGGGGGAAGAGGTAGAGAAAACCGGGAGTGGAGTTGAGCTGGGAAGGAGGGAGGGGTGGGGGGAAGGTGTTTTTAAGACTTGGCTTTACTTCTCATTATCCTTGTTTTGATTTGATTGGTAGTAAATTAAATTGACTTTTTTTTCCCCAAGTTGAGTCTGTCTTTTGCCCGTGACCATAAATGGTGAGTGATCCCTCCCTGTCCTTGTCTCGACTCACAAGCTTTTCTTTGTATTTTCTCCTCCTCATCCCACCGGGGCCAGAGAAAGGGTGGGGAGGAGTGAGTGAGCAGCTTCGTGGTGCTTTGTTAGCAGTGGAGCTTAAACCACGACAGCTTGATAGACTTGCCTAAGTCCAGTCTTTCACCCAGTGGTCCTAGGAGACACTGGTCATTGGTATAATTTTTATGGTACTGTTTTTTCCTCCTGGTGTTCTAGCTCATGAAAATGGACTGACCTTGTACAATTCTCTAGAAGAATAAAGTAGGTAAGGAAGAAATTCTTTACGATGAGGGTGCTGAGACAGTGGAACAGGTAAGGTAGGTGGTCCTGTTCCTGCCAACACAGAGAAGTTGTGGATGCCGCCTCCCTGGAAGTGTTCAAGGCCAGGTTGGATGGGGCTCTGAGCAACCTGGTCTAGTGGAAGGTATGCCTGCCCATGGCAGGGGAGTTGGAACTAGATGACCTTTAAAGGTCCTCTCCAACCCAAACCATTCTGTGATTCTAAGAGCTGGTCTTTATTTGGCTGTTGTGGACCTTGGCAGACAGCGGCGCCAAGATCTAGATTTTCTTTTTTGTACAGGCTCTCCCTGGGATGGAATTAATTGTCTTCATAGCAGCCTGTATGGGTCTGTGTTTTAGATTCATGACTAACAGCATGGATAACACACCGGTGTTTTGGCTATTGCTGAGCTGGGTTTGCCAGCATCAAGGTTTTATTTTTGTGCTTCTTTCTCGCCTGTGACCGCCCCGGCTGGGAGTGGGTGAGAGGTTGGGAGGGGACACAGCCAGGACAGCTGACCCTGACTGACCAAAGGGATATTCCAGACCATGTGACATCATGCTCAGGGAAAGAATGAGAAAGGGGGGACATTGTGGGTATGGTGTTTGTCTTCCCACGTAACTTTAATGTGCTGAGGCTTTGCCTACCGATGGGAAGTAGTGAATAAATTCCTTATTTTGGCTTTGCATGGGCAGCTTCATTTTACCTATTTAAACAGTCCTTATGTTGATCCATGAGTTTTCTTGCTTTTACTCTTCCCATTTTCTCCCCCATCCTGCTGGGGTGGGAGTGAGCAAGCAGCAGGGTCAACCCACCATGTTTTTCTAGATAGCCTGAGTCCTAGCTGGAATGCTTCTGGGTGTTCTGTAATTGGGAATAACCTGTGAAAGCTGGGTCTAAAGCCCCTAGTGTCCCCCTGGGTATATTAAGAAGCAGACTGAACATAAACCAGGAGTGAAGATGGGACACTAGCTAATTTTGCATTGTGTAGTAGACTGCAAGAGTCCTAGAGCGCTGTAGAGATAAGGTTAGCTTCATAGGTAGGCCTCCTCCCAGAGGCTGGTACAGCAAGGTGGGCCTGGGGCCAGCAGTAATCTCTAGGCAGGAAGATGAGGTACAAACTTCTCAGTGCTAGGAGTTTCACTGGATGCACACCACGCTGTAATTGCCTTGTATGTAAGGCAAGATGCCTCTGTCAGGAATACGAGCTGCTGCCATGACAACAGAGAGGATCTGTGGAGCAGAGAAACTGT